GTGCTTTTATATGTAAAGAAAATAAATTGTATAATTTATGTAGTATATATTAACAAAATTAGGGAAAATAAGCTTTTTTTGGCCTTCATAACCCATGTAACCCCTTAAGGGCTTATATTCACTTCCAAGCCAAATAAATGCTTTCCTTTAGAATCATTTTTTTAGAATCATTTGATTCTATAAATTAATGGAAAAAAATGTTAATAGACAGAATTTAGTTTAGTTTAAAAACAAACGACTCATTTTAAAAAATATTTGATTCTCTTGTTCCTGCAGCCGATCTCCAGAAGGGCCTCCAAAAAAAGGTGTCTAGCGGTGAGAAAGAACCAAATCAAGTAAGAATTGTAAATTATTGTCCTTCAATCATTACCTAATAAATACGTCTCAGAAGGTCGTGTGAAAATTTTCAGCCGGTTAAGCCCTTTCAGATGAATTTTCCTCACCGACTCTAAAAACAGCATTTCGAGAAAAACGAATTTGTGGTCCGAATATACTAAAGATCGTTTACAAAGCCAAAGCAGTAACGGGACATCTCAACCTTGCTTCGCCTATTTGCGAACACCACGAGAAGTCCTTAATGATACGATCAAATCTCCGAGCCTGTTTGTCGGTTCAACTTCAGATTTTCGGGAAATATTCTCAAATATACGAGAGGATCATCAAAAGTTTAACCAGTTGCTGGCTTTGAATTTGTTTTTGTTAAATCTAAAAATACCAAATCCTTAGCAATTACTTTCTTAGTATTCCTTTCAAATTTTTGAACGATTGGCAAAAATGGAGACGAGAAAACACAAGACTTCGAATGCTTTTTGCTCAATTTTTCCTAAACAAACTCGAAAAAGATTAGCCTAGCCACTTTAGTAAAGTCGTTGCTGGTGACGAATCATCGTTTGATAAGTACGATGTAGAAACCAAAAAGCAGTCCATGTTATGGAGCCCAACGGGAACAAGTCCACCCGTAAAGTATAAGCAATAAAAATCAGCAACTTTAACTTTACACAAGGCACGCTCGCATCTGCACTGCTCTAGTGAGTAGGCAATGCAACTAGGCTTCAGCGAACTCCTAAACCGAATATGTCGGAGCCGTTCTACTGAGGAGCGAGGAGAACGCAAGAATGGTAATAATTGAGCATAACCCTGCGCCTCTAACTGCATACTCAGAAGCTTGAGTACCCCCCATTACACCCCTTTTCTATTACCTCTATCAATATCTAAGCTCAAAGTTTAAACAAGTCCATGATACCAAAAAAATTAATTAATTTTTAGTACCCTATTTGAGCCAGCCATAAAATAATTTGTAAGTCTCTATTAAATTTATTTGATTAGAAATGTCAGAAAATTGAAAAAGTAAAAACGAAAGCGTTTGTAGCCAAAAAAAATGAACACATTTCCTAATATAAATACTTAAATACATACATACATACATCCATATGTGTGGGCACTATGCATAGTTATTTGGGTAACTAACGAAAACGAAAGACTTTGGGCAGGTGTGTATAGTAGGTTTTCGTTAAAGAATAACCACACTTAGCCACTTACGCGCTGCCACTAAAGCTTAAGACATTTCAGTTAGTACGTGAGAGCGTGCGTTCTGGCTTTAATACTTTAACAATACTTTCAATAGATTTAAAAAAAAATGCAGTGGAAAGCTGAACTAGTGTATACAAATTCTAGTTTGTAACTAGTATTTAAAGGTGGGAATAATACTAGTTTTAAGTGTTTAGTGGAAATCTTTAAACTCAACAAATTTCAATTTATTTTTCTACCAACTGGAAATTTGGCTTCCATGAGCATTGTGTTACCACGACATTGAACCGATCATTAAGCTACATTATCCAGGCATTCATTTAATGGGAATTTTGTCAGGTTCCTTATCTTAAGGGGTTATATCCAGGTATTTTGTTCTATGAATTAATGGAAAGAATGTTAATAGACAAAAACTAAACTAGTATTAATAATATTGTTCCTGTAGCCAATCTCCAGAAGGACCAAAAAGCTGTCTGGCGGTGAGGAAGATATTGGATGAGTGCATAAGTTCGTGCCCGATTCCGCTGGATGCCGTTCGAATCGCTTGAGAGTGGCGCTCGTGATTTGAGTTGCTTAGTGAAAAGACGCATGGAAGATGGACAACGAAAAAGATCATATGCGTCATATTATGTTATACGAATTCCACAAAGGAAAAACAGTCGGCGCTGCAACTAAAGATATTCGCGAAGTTTATTTGGACCGTGCTCCAGCACTCCGCACAGTAAGGAAATGGTTCGCGAAATTTCGTTCTGGAGATTTTAACCTCGAAGATCAACCTCGCAGTGGACGGCCTTCTGAGCTTGACGACGATGTTCTAAGGACTTTAGTTGCGAATAACTCACGTATTTCGACGGAAGAGGTTGCCAGTGAATTGAACGTCAACAAATCAACTGCGTTTCGTCGTTTAAAAAAGGTTGGGTACACTTTAAAGCTCGATACATGGGTGCCATATCAGTTGAGGGAATAAAAAAACAAAGTGCTTCGACGGATCAAAAACGAACCTTTTTTGGATCGCCTCGTAACTGGTGATGAAAAATGGATCCTGTACAACAATGTTTAACGCAAAAGAACATGGGAACAGACACACGAAGGGGCGGAACCGATGTCGAAAGGTGGATTGCATCCGATGAAGGTACTGCTGTGCATTTGGTGGGATATCCGAGGCGTGACCTATTTTGAGCTCTTGCCAGCTGGAGTAACGATCACTGCCAACAAGTATTGTCAGCAATTGGTCGAATTGAAGAAAGCAATTGATAAAAAAAACATCCGATTTTGGCCAATCGCAAAGGAGTTCTTTTTCATCATGACAACGCCAGGCCACACGTTGCAAAACCGACCCTGGACAAACTGAAGGAGATGAATTGGGAAATCATGCCGCATCCCCCATATTCATCCGACATTACACCTTCTGATTATCATTTGTTTCGATCGCTGCAGAACAATTTGAATGGAAAAAAATTTAAAAATGTGGAAGACGTCAAAAACCACCTTGACACCTTTTTCAACGAGAAACCGCACGATTTCTATGAATCAGGCATCCGCAAATTGGTTGAACGTTGGGAGTGGATTGCCGAACATGATGGCGAATACATAATTGATTAATAAAAGCGCTTTCTTCAAAAAGTTTCAATTTTAGTTTGCACTTGAAATCGGGCACGAACTTATGCACTCATCCAATATTTCTGCTTCAAATTATCTGAAACCCGAAAACCATACCAAATTTAGTACAACAACGGTTAAATAGGGATATTGATGGAAGAAATAGTGAAAAATTTTATTTTTGACAAAGTTTTTGGAGAGAAATTCTACACTTCAAAGCATCGTAAAAAATCGAAATTATTGTCAAAACTTTTATTCCTTCGATCTTTACCTAACAAATGTGTTGTTGTGAAAATATTACGCTGATCGGTTCAGTCGTTTCAGTAAAATTTTCCTCGCCGACTTTGAAAACATCGAAAAGCATTTGGATTTTGCGAACCACTCCGCCTTGCGCTTCGCCTATTTTCGAACGCCACAAGATGTCCTTAATGATACCATTATATCTCCGAGACTGTTTGTCGGATCAACTTCAGATTTTCGGGGAACATTTGCAAATATATGTGCTTTCGAAAATATGCATGTATTAAAAATATATTTTTGTGAAAATTACAAATGAATATAACCTCTTAACGTACGTCTACTAACTTAGACAAATCGTCAAGGAAGGTAGCTCCCACCCAGATATCACAAGCCTTTCTTAGGCGAGGCAGTCGCATTAGGGAAGAGAGAGATCTTTCTTACTTCTGCAGTATTCATAAAGGGCACTCACTTCGTTTCAGCAGGTCGACTGCATTTCAAGAGATACCCCTTTCAACCCGTTTCTGACCATACAATACAGTTTTCTTCCATGTCCCTGTGAGCAGGAACACAAGCAAGTGATGATATTGGTTATTAAAAAGCTCCTATTACTAATTGGTATTGATGCTCTTATTTCGGGCAATACCATACCGATTCAGTCAAACTAAGATGCATGTGAAACCAGAAAATATTGCTGGGGTTGTAGCGAAGATGAAGTGCCGGAAATCTCAAGGTTCTTCCTTTGGAATACCTCACACTTGGAGGTAGCGGGTTGAAGTGCAATATGCGGTAGGAAAGTGACCATGTAAATCGAATGAGCAAAAAGAATTGTACTATGCCTTAATTGACTCCAATTGACATTTCCCTCAAATCATATACTTGGCTACATATATATGTAGAAATGTACATATAAATATGTATTACCTTGAGTGTAACTTTGGCAAGGAATGCGGGTGTATGCGAGTAAGTAGTGCATTTAATATGACTAAATTCGGTCGCAGACATTTTTCATTTTGTACTCAAACGTATTAATTAGCCATATTTGTGGGAAAAAAATTACGCAGAGCATTTAATTGTCATACATCTGTATGTGTATACAGTTGCAGGCAAGCGTTTGTGGTTTTTTGCCCCCCACCCATTGCTGACTTTGGCCATGGCAATGCGAACGAAAATTTCTTTTTTGCCGCTAAAGCGTGGTGGGCACCATTTCTGTTTTTTATGAGTTTTGTTTTTTGTTTTTTTATTCATATTGTCTGCTCGACCAAAATTCACTAAAAGGCAGCAAACGAAATACGCCAAGCCATTTGCACTTAGTGACAACATTGCTCAGTACAGGAATGCATGCTCGCCATACTTGCCATACTTTTCGGGGAAAAAGTGTGCATATGAGTAAGTACACATATGTTGTATGTGTACTTTGATCGCTTGTAAATGGTAAGTCGTGACAATTTCGCTTCTTTTATTGTTTTTGCCTTTTCGTAATATTCTTTCTTCTTTCGCCTATGTTTTGGGGTTTACGTGTAAGCTTCGGTTTTTTTTATTATTTTTTTTACCAAATTCTACATGCCCTGCTGCAGTGTTGGCAAACTATTAAAGCGCTTGTCAAAGTCAAATCAGTACTCAATATTTTACGAACTTTCAACAGTTAATCATCAACGCTGCCGTCGTTGCATTTTTAATTCGTGTGTGTGTGTGCGCGTTTACGATATCCTGTCAATTAAATCACTCTCACCCTTCGAGGATTATCAATAATTAAATTAAAAACCAAAAATGGTCGCTAACAAGAAAATCGCTTTGGCTATTATGCTTTTTGCCGCCGTAATGAGCGAAGCTGTGTGCCAACAAGTGGCGGAGGACAATGCTTCCGATGTTGCTGGTTAGTGTAAAACCGTTTATTGCATTGTATGTGTAAAAGTGAATTTTAAAGGATCTACTATGAATGTGAGAACATAGAATATAAAGAAAAAAGCAATGCTATTAAAATTATAAATAAATCATGTTATAAAATTAATATTAAATTTTCAAAAAATTTGCAAAGTTACAAAACAATTGTTTCTTTAAAAATTTTAAGTTTGCTTCATAATGGAATAAATTTATTAATAAAAATCAAAATTGCTTTCGAATTAAATGAATTTAATTTTTTTTATTAAAATTAACATTACAATTTTAAAAAACTTAAAAATTGTTTTCTAAATAAATTAGTGTGTAAATAAAATTATTAAAAAAATAAAATAATAATTTTTTTATAATGCTTTTTAATTAAATTTAAAGTTAAAAAGTAAACTTAACTTCATGAAAAAAATGAAGTAAAAATTTAAACAGCTTTTTCAATAAATTAATGCATAAATAAAATTATTATAAATAACAAGACTGCTTTGTGATTGAAATAATTTTTTTATAACTTTTTTTAATTAAAATTAAAGTAAAAAGTACAACTTAGTTAATTAAAAAAAAATTAAATAAAAAATTAAACAGTTTGCTTAATAAATTAATGTATAAATTAAGCTATTTAAAAAATTTTTTTATAAAAAGCACGAGTGCTTTGTAATTGAAATATTTTTTTATATTTTTTTTAATTAAAATTAAAATTGAAAAGGAAAATTAAATTAAATAAAAAAGTGTAAATAAAAATTTAAATTGTTTTCTAAATAAATTAATGTATGAACTAATACATTAATGGTAGTTGTTATTGCTTTCTAATTAAATTAATTAATTTAATTTTTATGAAAATTAAAACTGCGTTCTCATTAAACTAATTTTTTACTAAATATTTTTCAATTAAAGCAATTGAAGTCAATTAGAATTGGATTAACTAGAGGAATTTAATTTATTTATAACTAATTTGAAATTATTAAAATAAAATAAAAACAACGAAACAATAATACTTAAAATTAAAGTTGTTCCCCAATAAAATTAATTTATTAAATAAGACTATTAAAAAAAACTAAAATAACTCTTTAATCACATTAAATTACTGATAACAATTTTGAGTGACATCTAATTAAATCAATTTATTGAAAAATAATTAATAATATTAAAATTAATTTTTAATAAAACTAATTTTTTAATGAATATTTTTAGAGAAAATTAGAAATATCTTCTAATTCAGTTAATTAATTTATTCAGTAGAAACTAAAATTGTAGGTATTTAATTTAAATTAACTTTTAATTTTAAATAAATGATTTTTTTAATAAAAGTTATTTTTTCTTTGTAATGATATTGAAAACTTATAATTGACTTATAATTAGATTAACATATTAAAATTTTTAATTAATTTATTTGCTTTCTATATATTAAAATTTTAATTTTTTATTATAACTTTTTGGTGAGCTGTAGGCCTACTTGTTTGTATGGATTGAATATTTAATGTTAATTAAAATTGCTTTATTATTATGAAAATTTTTTAATTAAAAATTTTGATGTATAAAAATTGAAGTCACTTTCTAAATAAATTAATTTTAAATCAAAAACTTTAATATAAATTAATATTTTTTTCGAATCATATTAACTTCTATATTAATAAATCTCTTTAATAAAAATTCAAATTCCTTACTTTAAAATATTTTAAGCATTTGAATAATAAATTAATTGACTTAATTTAATAGTTGTTTTCTATATATATATATTTTTCAAGAAGAGTTTCTTAAATTTTTTAACAAGCTTTTTATTTATAATTTATAGTTAATAAAATTTAAACTTAAAGATCATTAATATTTTCTTTTAAAAGCTTTCAAGTATTTATTGAAAAACTGTTAGTTTTAGATTTCTATTATTTGAATTAAATTATTTTTATTTTCTTTTCAAAACTTTTTATATTAGCGATTCCCAATAATTTTAATAAAAAAAAGCTTTATACTTAGTTTTTTTTTCAAAATCTTCATATGGAAAATTTTATCCAAAAAGTATTAAATTTACTCACCACTTTTGGGACGAAATTTGTTAAAAAAAATAATATTTGCTTAACGTTTTTTATTTATATAAAATTTTTAAATGCTCTTAAAATTATTGTAACTTAATTTACTTGTTTAGTAAATATAACTATTGTAGTTAAATTTTTTCTAAATTATTAATTATTAGTTTTATAATAATAAAAATGTATTTAAGTTTATACTGATTTTATTCAAAACCATTTTGCAAATATTTTGTATTGTAACTTTAATATAAAATTATTATTTTTCAAATGAAAATTTAATATCAACATTCAAAAAACTCTGCGCTAAGTTAAATTTTATACCAAATGTAAAAAAGAAATATATATAATATATTCTAAATTTAATGTAAAGTCCAACTAAATTAGTTGATTTATTTTTTCGTTTTAATTTTTTTTAACTCATTGTTTTTATATTCTCATGAATTTTTTTTTGTTTCCAAGTTTTTTTTAACTTTTTTTAAATTTTTTTTTAAGGCATATTTTACTCAAAAAAATTTATAATTTAATCAAATTCATACAAAACTCCATTCGCAGAAGGCCGCACATTCAGCCATCACTTCCTGAAGCGTCTGAGTTTCGCAGTCATTCCTGGCGCCTTTGTTGTTGGTGTAATCACCACACTACTGGCCGCACTCACCGTCGTCTCCATGAAGGGTCTAGGTGTTGGTGTAAGTATTTACGAATTTTAATGAAATAAAGCGCTTAGAAATAACTTCACCCACTTTCTTTGTGGTTTCGCCCACCCACCCACAGGTAATCCTCTTGATCTTGGCTATTGGTCAAATGCTCTCCCGCGCCATACCCCAAGTTCACGCCGCCGCCTACACCGCACCAGCACCCGTGCCGGTCGTCTACTCGCATTCACACACCCAACAACCCGTTTGGTTGGAAAAGGAATGGTAAATTGCAACAGCAACCGGGTAGTTAGATGTACGGACGTTATTACCTCAGTGAAGATTTGTGCCAGAACAAAAAAAAAAGAACAAAACACGAACGCTGAAATGAGACCAAAAACAACATTAACTTTTAATTATGAGTATTTTTAATTAATTTAGTTAGTTGTAATATTTATTTTTATTTATTTATTTATTAAAAACATTTATATTTTTCATATTTTCATAAAATGAATTTGGAAAATAAACAAATTTACGAAAATAAATCAAATATGTGTAGAAATGCGCTCTAAGGAAAGTGAAATTATTTGTCTTATTCATTTCGTTCGTTGTTATTGTTATTTTTGTATTATTTAGTATTCAGAATTGGCGTTAGTACTTCCTCGTTTATCTATATGCGTGGCAAACATGGACACAGACAGCACTAAACGTGACCGTTAAATGTTGCACGTTTTGATCGATGACTTGTCGGCGACTCACTGAGCTGCAAATGTATGTATGTATGTATGTTGGTATGTGTGCAGAAAGAAGAAAGTGTTTACATTTCATTGACATAAAATGTGTCGATAACATTTTTGGGCGAAGAAATGAGGTCAAATTCTGTTTTTGGGAAACGATTTCTCGATTTCGATAGACGCGCGTGTAAACCTTGAAGCAACTTAGACACGGAAATATGTACCACATTAGAAGTACAAAGAAAGTTAATACATTACGAACCTAACACTGCATAATATGAAGTATATGCAGAAGTATAGTAGGTCAGTAGAAAGTAAACCATTTTTTGAAGGCATTAGGCTTAGTTAGAGTTATATGATTGTTGCCGTCAGACGATCCAATTGCCGATAGTATAAGTCCGAGTTTAGAATTTGTCCGCAAGGGAGTAGCACATAGTGGATGAATCCTTGCCAATCTCACCAAATATACAACAAAACCTTCGTTAGTGTCAATCCTGACTTGGAGACCTTGCCCTTCGACCAGTGATTCACTTTTCATCACCAGTTACCACTCGCTTCGGACTTAGGCCGATTTTGTTACGATTCAGCAGCAATGCGCCGGTAACAATTCGGTCCATGAGGTTATTCCTTGTTAACTTCTGTAGCATAAAAGCAGCGCAAGAATGACGATCAAACTCGATGATTTCCATTATTTTATAGACACCTATAAGCGGCGATTGGTCTTCCGCCCGTTTTGTTTTCACACAAAATATTAGACAAGACCCTATACACAATGTTGGGGAGGCTTATCCCACGACAATTAAATTGTGCAAAGCACACTGAGGCTCGAATCATCGCAAATGCTTTCGAATATACCCCTAACTGCCAACTTCTCAGCTGACTGAAAATACCTTTCTCATGTGGTCTACACGCGTTCTTGGCTGCATAGACATGTCACATATCTTCGCTCCCACAAAACAGTGATCCGACTCGATGTGAGGTGCTTGCCACCTACGTACACCCCAAATACTGGAATTGCATGATTCCTTTTTGATTGGATCTGGTCGCAATCACACCTCTGGCTAGCAGACATTGCAAAAAGGCTTTGGTGAAACCTTAAGCCGGATATGTCGGAGTGGTTCAACTGAAATTCCCTTCCTTTTAGCTATGAACCATGGCTTCACGCATATCGGTTACCGGATCTTATGCAAGGATTGCGCATGCTTCTAAGGCATGCGACGACGACGCAAAATTAGGAATTGGGCATAGTCTTGGAATTGTAACTGAAAATCTGAAAGCAGTACTACATCCACTTAAACACTGATTCGCCCTATGAATCCCAGAAAATGAGAATATTATCAGAAAATCTGAAGTTGATCCGACAAACAGTCTCGGAGATATGATCGTATCATTGAGGACGTCTCGTGGTGTTCGAAAATAGGTGAAGCGCAAGGCGGTGTTGATGATGTTTAATATGCTCGGCCCTCAAATGCATTTTTTTCGAAACGCTGTTTTCAGGATCGGTGAGGAAAATTTATTTGAAACGTCTAAGTCTAACCGATCGGCTTGTAATGTTCGAAGCATAAAAATTTTTACAATAATTTCGGTTTTAAGCCACTTTGAGGCGTAGAATTTCTCACAAAAAACGAATTTTTTTAAAGCCACCATTTTGTCGAAAACTCCTCGGGCCATTTCCTCTATTCAACCGTTGTAGTACTAAATTTTTTATACTTTTCGCGTTTTAGATAATTTGATGCAGAATTATCTTCCTCAGCGCCAAACACCTTTTTTTCGAAGCATTTATTTTGTTTTGCAAGTGAATATAACCGCTTAAGCAACACCAGAAGCTTCGTGAGGATCGGAAAAGGCCTATACGAGTCGATCGATACAAAACAAGGTTTCAGACTGGGTGATTCGTGTATGCGGCGAAGACATTGATATCATTGACCTCAACAACCACGCCATAAGTTTTGCTTTCTTCCGACTAGTTGAGGAGGCGAAGGATATGAGCCTGATAGTGAACGAGGGCAACACGAAATATTTCCAGTCTTCAAACGTAGAGTCATCCCATTTGGTACTCGACTCCTATGCACTATGTAGAGTCATAACTTTAAAATTAAGTGATTTTCCAGCGAAATATTTACCGAGCGATTTATGTTACCGTAGATGAAGATCGCCACTTCGTTGGATAGACTAGATAGAGGAGAGCCTTCATGTACTTTGTATTTCCAACAGGCATCAAACGGTGAAGAGAAGAAACGAATGGTGCGCTATTCTTGATTCGGCTACAATCGTGTAATGCTAATGATAAAGAAGAAGTCTAATAGAGGGTGATTTTCAGCTACTATGCGTTGGCAACACTGGTCAAACATCTTCAATTTGGTATATAATTTAGCCATGAATCGTCTTACAAACGAACAACGCTTGCAAATTATTAAATTTTATTATCAAAATGCGTGCTCTGTTAAGAAAGTTCATCGCGCGCTTCTTCCGCACACACTTGGAAGCTCATTTTTGGCTTACTGGGTGCATAAATAGGCAGAATTGTCGATTTTGGAGTGAAGATCAGCCAGAAGCATTGCAAGAGCTACCAGTGCATCCAGAAAAAGTCACTGTTTGGTGCGGTTTATGTGTTGGTGACATCAAAGATGTTGCGAATCGCAAAGTAACTGTGAATGGTGAGCGCTTCCGTGAGCAAAATGCAGGAGCTTGACTTACATGACATGTGTTTTCTTTAAGACGGTGCCAGATGCCACACAGCGTAACAATGGACTAATTGAGAGGCGAGTACGGTGAACATTTTATTTCACGTTTGGGACCGGTCAATTGGGCGCCTAGATCGTGCGATCTAACGCCTTTAGATTATTTTTTGCGGGGCTGTATTAAATCTAATGTCTATACAGACAAACCCGTTTCAAATGACGCATCGGAAGACAACATCGAAGCATTTATTCGTGAGATACCGGCCGGAATGTTGGAAAGAGTATGCAGTAATTGGACTAAGCGGATGGACCATATGAGGCACAGTCATGATCAACGTTTGCATGAAATAATCTGCAAACATTAAATTATATGGACCGTACTATCGATTCAAATAAAAATTTCATTAATATTTCTGAATTTTACTTTCTCTTACATATCTCTTAAAAAATCACCCTTTTTATACATTTATTTTGGAGTATGGGAACAATTTAGGCTGTCTAAACTAGTTTCATTTGTATTTAGTATCTCCTATTGCCGTCTAATTTTGCTGTAATTAAGACATGATTGTTTCTAATCCAGCCACATTGCTAAATAATCTTAAGAGATATCTCTTTTCTTAGCAATCAAGCCGCGTTATTGTTACAATCACGATAATTTAAAAGCTGTTCTCTGCTGAGCATCCATTGTTGTAGAATGCTGTGATCTACTTGTCGATCACTCATCTGCTTATCACAAAATCATTGTCCGCCACAGTGCGTCAAGTGCCTAACGGCAGATATTCTTGTTGATTTCTTCAAGTTTTCTATGCATCTCTTCCAATATGTGCTACTTAAGACTACTTTTCCATGAAGAAAACAAACGGGACAATTTTTTTCAGTTTTTTGTCTGTGCAGAGTGAGATGCATTGGCTAGACAATTGAATGGCACACAGTTGTATGAACATATGGTATGTATATATGTACATATGTATCCACCAGTTATTAATCAAGTGAAAACGGTCATGTCAGAAATCGTAGAACTGAAAGTTGAATTTCCAAACAGACAGCGATGGACACTGACCGACCGAGTAGCAGCTGGACTAGATTCTTTCCAAGAACCCCATTTAAAACGGTATAGCAATCGGGTATGCGTTTCACTAGCACCAGAGCAACAAGAAAGTCTAGAATTTCCAGCTAGAAATCTTTGGCCGCACAGAATGTGAAGTGCAGATTTGCAAGCGTTTGGGGTTTGCTGGCGTGCCGCACAATGCACTGCTTCAGTCGCTGATCGCGCACAAACCAGCAAAGTAGTGCAATTGGAGTGTAACGCGGCAAAGCAGAGCTGGAGATTTTTTCAATCATTAGTGAAAATTGATTTACAAAAAGAAAACCTGAAAAAAAATTAAAAAAAATAAAAAAAAATCTTTTTAAAAATATTAAAAAAAATTTATTTAAATTTGAAATCTTCATATTATATCAAAAAAAAAAAATATGGCGCCTAAAATCTTTCAAACCGCCTACTACTCCCTTATTGTGGCTTTCATTGTTGTTGCGCTGATCGCACGCACCAATCAAGAGCATTTGAACGCCAGTAATGCGCCTACACAAGCGCGCCGCGAAGTTGACGAAAAACGTAGTAGCAGCAGCGCCACAACAGCCGCACAACACACTGAAAAGCTGTTGAAAAATGCGCCATACTTTCAGGCGTCACTGCCAATGCGTGTCTATGAATGTTTGCGCGACTTTAGCATTTTGCGTTGTACGAAATTGTTTTTACTGCAGAAATTGGCGGAGCGCAAGAGCTTGAGTCACACGCGCAACTTGACGCACGACTTTCTCGAACAATTCTTCGATTCGGAGGACAGGCTGGACAGTTTGATCAACAACAAATATGCGCATATGTCCGATGAGAAGTTGAATCAGTGTCTGGTGTTGCAATTTCAACGTTTCTTCAAGCATCGCGACATCAAGCTGCACTTTCTGCCCGGCATAATGGTGAAAATCGTGCCGAGTCGAGACAATAAATTGAGTTTCTCACTGAAGAAGAGCAAAAGTAGGTTGTTGCTGCAGCGATCGCTCACACTTTACGCTTTAACCTTTATCATTTCTTTTTTTTTAGAAACCAAAAAGCATGCTGCAGTGGTTAGTGGTCGCGCATCAAAGCTGGTTGAGGAAATCGATGAAACGTTGGGCATGTCTGAAGTGTCCGAAGCTCAGTCGGAGGAGTCAGCGCTTACGAAGCAAAGTGAATTGGGTTTAGCTGGCGCTGGTAATGCCGTTGGTGGCATTGGCGGCGGGCATGGTGGTATTGGTGGTGGTGGTGGTGGTGTAGGTGGTGTTGGTGGCGGTATTAGACGCAAAAATAAAAAGGATTCGACGTACTCCTCCTACAAGAGCACCATACTACAAATGGCCGTGCCTGTTATGGTTATGCCTGCCATTCTGATGGGCACTGTCTTGCCATTTCTATTGCCCATGCTGAAAATGGCCACCATAATGACGATGATGTTGAATAACAGCGCTTTTATTGCCGCGCTCATTTATGCTGCACGCACACACGCGAATGCGCAGGAGGAACAGCATATTAGCTATCCACCACAGGGATACTTTTAGTGAGATCTGTTGTAGTTGAATTTTGTATTGTTCGGTTAAAAGAAAACGCAATAAAATTTGTAGAAAAAATATGATGACTTTCATACAATGAGGGCTCTTATAAAAATGAGTATACTCCAGAGCTTCCTTAACATCCAGGGTATAATAACTGTTTGACGCTCGTAGCAGATATATTCTTTAAAAATATTCTGAGGTTCTTTTGAGGATCTTTTCAATACTGGTTGACTACTTTTCTGAGGGACTACACAGGGGACTATTCATTAGCTCTGTGTTCGAGCTTCTCCCCACAATTTACATCGGAGTGTCGTTTATGTAACTGAATTACGCCTCCGCTCTCATGGAAGATAAGCCGGATGTGAGAAGGATAGGACGACCGCCTCAAGGGCTTATGAGTGCTGCCCATGTGACGATGTTAAGCCCTTCATGACAATTTTAATGCCAGGTTAGGGCAGCAACGTATTACAAGGATTGGAAAATGCAGCCACCCCGACGAAACCGTTCCAAATGATGTGGATGTAATAATTTTTGCCGAGTACCGAAATATATATACATACATATACATATATTTGGTGCTGAAGCGATTTGCAGCCAAGCTTCTCCTCAAATTAGTGGTAGGCGTCGTGATGTTTCTCCAACAAATAGACGGACCTACAGTTTATACTGAGCCGCCTCCAAACTGCCGATGGATTTTTATGTGGAGCTTTTAATTCATGCCAGAACTACTACTTCGGCGGGTTTGCCATTCCCTGCCAAGGGGTGAACGCAATTAGAATAATTATTTTCTATAATTTTGCCTGTTAGTCGAACCATGACTCAAACCCTGGTCAATAGAATGGCAGTACGCAATGCTAGCCACTCGGCTATTGTGGCCGCTATCGTACCGAGATGTAGTTAACTGGGAATCCAAATACCTGAGTGAAAGTCTCCGTCAAGACACTTAGCTACCACCGAATCAAAAGACTCGAAGTCAAATATATTATGTTGTGTTAGATGAGAGATATGTCTCTTGTGCTTTAGGTTCTTAGATTCAGATCCTAATATCGACACGAACCAAGATCTTGTCGCAGCACACCTGCAGCATACTCTTTATTATAATATGAAATAATCTCACCTAAGTTTAAACGTAGCAGACGAGCTGCTACTGAAAAGACTCACATTGAAATCTTGGAAAATGTAGATAGGCTAAGTAAATCTTTTTTTCATCCATTATGCTGCTCTCTCATTAAAACGCCTATCCCTACTGGCAGAAGTTTTGACGATTGATCTCCCCAGACTTCTCTTCAGGTAAATTCTTCATTAGCGAAATTCTTCGCCATAGACAGGAACAGATGACAGTCACTTGGTGTTAGGTGTGAAATGTAAGGTATATGCATAAGAGATCACTCTACCAAGCTCTCGAAGCTTCTGGGCGGTTTAGGGCCCTTTAAACGATCCAATTGCGTATTGTTAGCAACGTATTAAGAGTTGGACTATAGGAGAGCAGCTCATAGTGAATGATTCCTTACTAATCCCACCAAACTCTAGATGACAATTTCGACTTGGAGACGTTGCTGTAAGTGATACACTTTTCATCGCCGATTTTGTTACGAATCAACAGTGATTAACAGCTGACAATTCAGTCCATGAGGTTTTTCCTCGTTGGCATCCATAGATCGAGCTTCTTTGTGTATCCAACCGCTTTCAAGTGATTCCAAAATGTTTTTGAGCAATGTATTGCTTACGAGCAGTGGAATTAGTGCTCGCATGTAGGTCAGACTAGGTAATTTCATTTATTTTGCGACATTTTCGGTGGTTGACCTTCCACACCGTAGAGCAGCATTCAAATCAAAATTACCGCAACAAAATCGGCGAAACCAAATCGGTGCACGATTGACTCTTATAGTATGAGAACCATAAACACCATTCACTTTTCCTGCTGCCTGACTTGTGTTTTCGCCTTCGCGAAAGAAAAATTGTAGAATCTAAAGTATTTTCTCTTTGCTGAAGCCCATCTTTGACATGCGCTCAAAGACTGCTGAGTTATGGAATCAATACTCTGAAATTATCTTTTCTGGCATCAAGCCACCATCATTCTAATGTCATCTAGCGTAAGCCTGATCACACTTCTCGAACGCGAGGTACAGACCATTGAGCTTAAATATTGCAAAAATAACGAACTACTTTTTACTTCAATAGATTAATTATTTTTTATATTCATGCGAAAAAACGACTCGCCCTTCACAGTTCTTCCCCCCTATCTTAGTCAATGTAAAAAGAAAGAATTTGGGAAAGCCTAACTTTGTCACCAGCACCTAATGCCGGATATTTCTCATGCACTTCTTGCTGATAAAGCTCCTCAAACTTAACGGTGATTCACCCAAAACTTTGATTACCATCAACAGCCACCGTATATTTAACGCATAATTAGACAAACAATTCTACAGCTACAGCTACAAGAGCTTCACTTTAATGTATATACATAAATCTATTCATGTATGTCTCCTCGCACATTTTTGTTGTTCGCCTCCAAATTCGTGTTTCGCAACAATTATCAGCGGATTTATTTATTTTGATAGATATAAATATACATACACATATACATATGTACATACTTAACTCTGCGTTAATACTATCGATTTCAATAACTAATCGTAGGAAAAAAACTTCCGCTTATTAATATTCTTCGAAATAACTGCCAGCTACCACAATACTGACAAGCCAAAGAGAAACGAAAATCATTGAAAGAAAGAAAGAAAAAAAATGTTTTACTTGTATAATAATGCAAAATTCAAGGTATGGAATTTGCTCATCTGTGATATATTTGAATGCGGCCGAAAGATTGAAGATTGTAGACTGCGGAAGGTTAAGGCTAAATAATTCTTAAGAGTTGCGCATCGAACTGAGAACTTGCTAGACACGCTGAAGTACGGCTAGTAGAAGAGTAGTTTGCAAAAAAAAAAAAAAATATTTTATTTTTTATATTAAAAATAAGTAAAAATCTTCAAGAAGCTTCTGCGGATGCTCCTGCAAATTTTATTTATTTATAATTTTTTTTTTATCTTTTCCTTTTTTCATTTTTTGGCGCTGCTCACTACTTGTTGTTATATAATATAAGCGAGCGGTTGTTTTTTTTTATTTCAATTTTTTTTTTTTTTGCTTTGGCTGCTACTATTTATTGTTATGCAAAAAGCGCTAATAAATTTATAAATAAATATATTTAGCAATTTTAAACAATATGCAATAATTAATTCCTAGTAGTGGCATATTTACATATATACACAATAAGTATAATATTTATTTGTACTCGAGTTTAACCTGAGATTAAGTTGAATTTAAAATTTCAAAACTTATTTCGGAACAGTGTTTCAGCTATGTTATATTACAAATTTTTCTGTCCCAAGCATCCTCAAATAAGCTCAACGCGATATCAACCTTATTTTTCAGAGGCATGAAATTACTAAAATATTTATTTCCGAAATTAAGGTTTTTTTGTGAACTTTTTTTAGAGATCGAAACAAAAACGTTCTCCAGTTGTGAAAAAGAGTTCTGAAAGTTTGGAATTTTTTTTAATTTTTTTGCTAGTTTTTCTTATTATTTTGAAAATTTTAAGTTACAACGTGATTTTTTTTTGTTATTTTGTTAGCGGTAGCCCTCCATTTGTTGGAAAAACTTCAAGACGCGAAACCACAAATTGGAAAAGGAGCTCGGCCGAAAATCGCTTCAGCGGTTACAAAGTGCCAATTATATGTTATTATATATTTTGTTGTGTTTCTTCACGACAAATATTATTTTTATTCATTTTTTTTGTTTTTTTTATTTATGGCATTTTTTCCTTTGTGTTTCATTATTGTTTCATGTGCTATTTTATGTTTTTACATAATAATGCTTATTTCTTATCACTGGACTGCTTAAAGAACATTCGTTATATTATATTTTACCAATTTGTTTTATGTTTTATATACATATATTGTGTTATTTATTTATTTAAAATCTTTTTTATTTAAGAAATATTTTTTTTTTTTTGTATCTCTTGGTCTTTGGTTTGTTATTTTTATAAGTGTTTTTTATATATTTTTCCCCCTTTATTCATCCTTTTAAATATTTCTTTTATATATTCATTGTTTGATTTATTTTTTGTTAATTTTTTGCTTTTTTTCGAACTTTTGTATGTTTTTATTTCTGTTCAATTTTCTTTTTGTTTGTTTTCATTTTTAATTTTTTTTTGTCTAAGTTCTGTAAATAATGGTGGTGGTTTTTTAATTAACTAAAGAACGTTTTATTGTTTTGTTTTATTTTTTATTGATAATTTTTTCTTTTGTTTTCATTTTTTTAAATTAATTTTTAATAATCAAATATTATTAAATTTTATTTATTAATTTTTATTTTTTAATGTTTGAAGGTTTCATTCTACGTTTGTTATTTTTTTTTCCTTTATACTCAAAAAACACCATAAATAAAAAAATGATTATTATACTTTATTATATTTTATACTTTTTACGATACGTCGACTTTGTTTTGGTTTTAAATTTTAATTTAGAATTTTCCATTTATCTATTTTTTGTTTGGTTAACTATTTTCTTCTTTTTTTTTAATTATTCTTCCATTAATATTTACTGTGTTATTTGATGGTTTCATATATTAATGCTTGAAGGTTTTAATTTTTTTTCTAACTTCTTCTAACTTGTTTGCTTTTCCACACTTTTTCCATGGTACATTTAGTTTTTTTTCTTTTTCTTATAATTGGTCTGACTGGCGGCCGCGGTAGAAGAGATCCTCCACAAATTGGAGGAGGAGCTCGGCAGAAAATCGCTTCAGCGGTTATAAAGCGGCAATCATATATAATCAGCCCAATTTCAATATTTAATAATTGTACAGTTTTGTTATGTTTTCTTCTTGGTTAATATATGTTGTTTGGTTTTTTATTTGTAATTTTTTATTCGCGTTATTTCTACTTCATTTACATTTTTTTATTAATATATTGTTTTACTTACTGTTATTAATTTTTATTATATACTTGTTTACTTTTCTTTTTTTTGTTTTGTTTCTTTTCTTTTGCTTTTTAATTAGATTTTCATTTATTTTTTTTTATTTGGATTTTTACTCGAATTATTTTAATTTTATTATTTTATATTTTATTTTATTTTAATGAGTTTTATTTGATTTTTTTAAAAACCGTATAAATGCTGAAAGTTTTAGTTTTACTTTTTTATTTTGTTTTTCGAACTCTGTTTCCTTTTATATTTGTATATTATTATTATAATTTTTATTTAATTCTTATATATTTTATTTTATTTTAATCAATTTTTTTTTAGTAGTTTTACTTTTTTTGTTTTTTTTTTTCTTTTTACTTTTTGGTTTCATTTCTGTCTCTTCTTTACATTATACGGTTCATTTTTTTTTTAAATTGGCCTAAGTTAAATCAGTTTTTGGAAATAAATTTTGTTTTAATTTGGTTTATTGTTTTGTTTTTAACTCATTTTTTAAACATTTTTTTTGCTTTTTTTCTTGCATTTTGCTTATTTGTTATTTCCTTTATATTTTTTTGTTTATCGTCCATATAAATACTTATAAGTTTCATTATTATACCTTATTTTGCATTAATTATTAATAATTTTGATTTTTTATTTGAATTAATTTGTTATTTTTCCCCCGATTAATTTGCTTGCGTAAATAAAGAGCTGTTTTTTTTTTTGTTTTTTCCAATCTGTTTTATTTTATTTACCTTAACATTTTTGGTTATTGTTTATATTGTAATGTACAAAATAAATTTTAAAGCAAACTAATAACTAACACTTCATTACACACATATGCACATATATGTATATACAAAGTGCATATGTGTTGCAATGAAAGTTGTATGAACAAAACTGAAAAATAAAAATAAAAAAATATCTTAAAATTCTATACAAGCAATCTCCTTAGAACTAGCCTTAACACTGTAAGTATGTGAACTACCTCCCTTAACATAGTATGTAAATAATAAGTATGTATGCCGCATATAACCTTCTTCTCTCGATAAGTACGTGCGTTCAATTATGATATTAAACTCTCCGTTCTTTTTCTTCTTTAAATTTTCATAAACTTCCACTCTTCATAACATCACATTCTACAGCTTCATTAACGAAGAAGAAATCATTTCATAAATATTTTCTTCTTCAATTGTGTGCAGCGGCGTACTCGTGGGCGAACATTCTTCCATTTGATTTCCACCACACACCAGTCGCGTCATGAGCTACACCAACCCCCTCTTTGTATAATTTCCAAGTACGTTAAGTTTGCGCATAGTTTTTGCTTTTGTTTTTGTTTTTTGATATTTCTACTACATACATATGTATCATTATGATAACGGTCGCGCTTGAGTAGCTATAGGAAGCTTACAACAGGCGCCAAGTACAATTTTTTCCAATTAAACACTGTACTCGCTCAAATATGTATGCAATTAAAAATAAAAATAAAATTAAAAATAAAATAAGGTATGAAAGTATGTAATGTAGACTCCGAGCGCTTTATTCGGCTTTCTCGCGTAGAGCGCCTTCACGATCCTCTTCACAAATATCCTGATCATCCCAACCCCAAACTAAAGTCGTTTCCTTCTCATGATCCAGTTTCGATACGAGCTCGTTTATGTTCACATTATTGTTGTTCACATCGATCATAGATGAGTGAGAACCATCACCGGTACGTTGAACACGCTTCAAGATCATCTCTTGTGAGACCGATTTCAAATCGTAAGCTTGACCTGTGAAAAATATACAAGAATTATGTTTAAAAAAAAAGTACAGAGAAATATTTCGAAAATCCTTTTATAACCCGTTAACCCGTTAAACTCACCAATGCGTGCCATTAAATCTAAGAAAGCTGTAGTCCAATTGTATTTGTATGTGCCCAACTCTCCCGCTTTGTAGTCCCAGGGGAAGACATGATGGTAGTTATGCCAGCCCTCACCGAAAGCAATTATTGACACCGTTTTACTATCGACCGAACTGATATTCTTCTCATATGGACGCATGCCGTAGAAATGAGCAGCGCTGTTGACCAACCAAGTGGCGTGAAGTGAGAGCGCATAACGAGCCATGGAGCAAACGAAGAAGCAAACTTGAAGCGATGAGCCTAGCACGAAGTATGGGACGAGTGCGGGAACCACGAAACAACAGATTGGCATGACGACAAAGTAGAATCTATGCGATGAGAGGAAATTGTTGAGCAGTTCATAGAAATTTATGTGTTTCTTGAAAAAATGGTTATGCTGTAATGCAGAACTGACCTCCTTACTTTTTAAATATTACAATACTTTTAGCTACATATATAAAAAATATATTCAAACTTTTTTTGGAAAATTTTATACACTTTGCTAAGGTATTAAGACAGTTTCGGCTGCAGTTCCACTGCTAAGTATCATTAGTACAGCAAGATGCTGGGATTTTCTAACTGGTTTCAGAGCAGGCGCGTAGGCGCATATGATCCGTCTCTAAGTCTGTCTTTTCAACTATCCATCAACTCACCCGCCTATATTCTTACTGAAATCCTGCTGCTTTGTTTAAGAAGAACTTCAAATTCAAAGTCGTTATAGACAACTCCTGACTTTACTAATTTGGGCTTGTTCATATATAAAATTTATCGTCGACACCCTCCAATTCACTTCTCATTTGCACTCACCTCTTCTGGAATCTAACAACGGGATCAGCCCAAATGTCACTCATATCAATAGCCTTGCCACGCTCTTTCACATCCGGATGCTTCTTGCACATCAACCAACCCATATGGGCAAAGAAGAAACCACGGCCGGAGTTGTGTGGATCGCCATTAGTATCGGTGAATTTGTGATGTACACGATGATCACGACACCATTCGTATATGCTATTTTGGAAAGCTAGAGATTGGCAAAGCATGAGGAAAATACGTAATGGCAGTCTAGCTTTGTAAGCACGATGCGACCAGAGGCGATGTACACCAGCTGTAATGCCCAAACCGCCGAGCACAGCATAACCGTAAGCTGAAGTAAGAGAGCAAAGGAAAAAGAGAATAAGTTAGTGGCTAATATTTTTACACTCACACACACACTCACCTATTAAGAACTCCAAATAAGCATTCTCAGCCCACATCAGATAAGCACCATAGAAGGCTGTCGAATGCAATATCACGAAGAGGAATACATTGAACCAGACAATTTCCATCTTATATGGTTCCTTTGTTGCACCATCCGCTTTACTTTGAGTTTGTGCCACGGGCTTAGCAGAATTTTGACGCATTACTGCTGTGGTCTCGTGGCTACTTTTGCAGCTAGACTTGGCTAATGTTGCTGGTTTGTTGTTGTTGGCGTCATTGTTGGTAATTGCCGTTTCGGCGATGAGAAAAGTGCTGCCGATAAGATTTGGAGCCATCTAGGAAGGAGACGGGAGGGGAAAAGAAAGTGTGGAAAATAAATTAATATAAAGTGCATACACACAAAACTATATATATATAAATAAATTTATTTAGGAAAAAACAATAATTATTTAATGAATTTTTATTTTATTTTATTTAGTTAAATAATTTGTTACTATTCTATTATTTTATAAATAAAAACCAGATAGTTCTGGGATAAAATTTACAAAAAAATAGTTTTCAATTATTTTTCTTTTTTTTTTAAATATATAAAACAATTTATTCCACTATATTATTTTATAAACAAATAAGAGTTTCTTAATAAGAAAATAGTTATTATTTTAAATGCATTAAAAACAATTTTTTTTTATTTTTTAAATAAACAATTTTATATTAATACCTTTTATATCCAAACGAAAAAATTGAATTAAAATTTTAATAATCTTATTTTACTCTTTATAGTATAAAATAAAAATATTCTCTAAGAAGAATTACAAAACAAATTTAATTATATTTTAATTTATTTGTTCAGCAAAGCATTTTATTTTTTAAGTAAAATATTTTTTACTAGATTTTTTGTAATTAAAAGCTTAATAGTTCTTGACAAACATTTGCAAAATAACAGATAAAATATATATTTATTTTTTATTAAAAATGTAAGAGATTTTATTTTACTATTTGATATTTTATAAGTAAGAAATAAATATTTTTTAATCAAAATAATACAAAAAGTAGTTATTATTTTAAATGTATTTTTTATATTATACAATAAATATTAATTTGTAGAAGAAAAATTGGTTTTTTTTTAGAGGCAATTATAGAAGTCTTTGATAGTTTTTTTTTCATTTTTTAGATAAATAGTTATATATTATTACTTTTTTACAAACAGAAAAAAAAACTTAAAAATATTAAAAAAAATATTTTTTTAAGTAAATTTTTAAATAAATTTTTAAATAATTTTTTTTTTATCTTTTAAGTTTATAGAAAGAACATGAATATTCTCAAAGAATAATTAAAAAGAAAATTTAGTTATTTTTAATATTTTAAGTAACAAATTGGTCATTTATTTTTAATAATATATTCATATATTTTTAAAGCAAACATTTAAATAAAATTGTGTTCAGTTTATTGATGTAAAACTATTTTTTTAGAAAAAAATTATTGTTTTTATTAAAAAAAAAAATAAATATTTATTTTTAATTTTGACAGAAAAAAAAATGGGCAAAAAATTAGTATTCAATTAAATATTTTTTTCCAATATTAAATTTTATTTGAAAACATTATTTTGTAAATAAAAAGAAAACTATTTATAACTACCAAAAAAAAAACTTAATTAATGCCACTTTATAATTTCATTAAAAAAAAATAAACCAATATTTTGTATTTAAATTTTTAGCAGCAAATTCCTCAATCAGTATGCAATCGGAAAGGATTACATAATATCACTTGAAAACAAAAATCAATAATACAAAATTTATACACTTGATTGATTATGAAAATAACATATATTAAAAGTATAAGCGCATGAACTCATTATCCGCTCCAACAATATTTGTATTCTTCACGCTACGCAACTCCTAAATTTATTTAAGTTTTGTTGTCAAGCACACGTTTTTGCCTTAAAATCGCTACCAATTCGGTTTATGTGCCTCTTGTTAGCTTCTACTGACTACCAAATAAGTTCTAAGCTATCTAAACGTAGATATGTAGAATATAAGCATTAATGAAGTACAACAATAAAAAATAGGTACTAGAAGATACTACTCATCAAATATTCCGCACACGTGAATGACAGCGAAAAAAGTAAAAAAAAAATGTTATTTTTCGATAATAATAAAATCTAATTTTATTTAAAGCATTTGTTTGAAGACACGTGCAAGGATATTATTGAATTGCGTGGTCTCAAGTTCCCTCAATGAGGAGCAGCTCCATAAGAGCAGAAGGCATTCTTTGGTAATTGTAATTCATTTTTATTTAAATTTTTTATTATTATTATTATTTTTATTTTTTTTTTTTTGAGTAAAGTAAAGTGTGAAATAATGTCTCCTGTCATTTAAATGAAATACAATTTTTTCTTTTTCCTATCTGCTTTGGCAAAAGAGGCTTGGCTCGTTAATGGTTGGCAATAAAATTTTGTTAAAATGAATAAAATATATTACGTACGAGTTAAAAAAAAACAACTGCTTTAAATAGCTTAAAATAAACATAGAAATGATGAGAATTAAGTGATAGAAATCTGGAAGTTAAAAAAATAAAATAAAAAACCAATTAATTGTAGTGTCAATTGTAGCAGTTTATTTGGCAAATTTCAACAAACTGTCTGTAAAGTAAAGTGCTTGGCATCAAGGAGAGATGAGTAGTTTCAAAAAATTGATAAAATTTCAATTTCCGCGTATCTTTTGATATTTTTTCACTTAGAATGAACAATTTTGGATTAAAATTTAGCATATTTCTAATCAAATTTATTCTATAGAAATTTAAAGTGCTAACGTACTTGAAACTAACTGTCTTACAATTGTTAAAAAAAAAAATTTAAAAAAATTAAAATTAGAATTAAAAAATTTAAAATTATAATTAAAAATCAAGTAACATATAATATAATTTTAAGATTCCAGTCGAAAATTCCATGAGCAAAATTTCCACTTTTTAACACATGAATAATAATAAACTACGGTTGGAATTATAACTTTTTTGGCACACATATAACTAATATGTACAATTTATTTTGATTAACTTTTGGCAAAGCAAAATTTTATGTATTTTGTTTCCGCTCTTCTAAGCAAATAATAGTCAACATAAAGCCTTTTTTTGCCAAAATTTTGCTTTTTTTTCAATTTAATTTTTTATTTAACTCCACATAAAAATTCCCAATTAAAATATGTCATCTTCCAATTTTTTTATATGGTAGGCGAATTGGGCAAAAAAAAAATTAAACAATTGTATTTTTTGCCTAAAAAACACGCATGAGAAAGAAAATTGTGGACTTTCTTATTCAAAGTCAAAATTTAAACTTTCCTGCCCCAAAACGAGTAATAAAGATAGAAAAAATCAGACACTCTCTTTTTCTCAGTAAATTTAAAAAAAATTAAAAATAAAAACTTTAGAAACTACCAGCTGGTAGTTCAAGACATCTCTAGCATTAGGTAAACTTAAAAAATAAAATAGAAATAAATAAAAAAAAAAACAAAAAAATAAAAATGATTTTAGCATTCGCCAGTGGAAGCCAGATTTAATATTCTTCTGAAAAACTTTTAATGATATATACTTATGGGTTACTGTTTCTCAGTTGTTCTTAACTGTTCCCCAACTATTCTCAACTGTCTTTCAACAATTTCTAAATTGTCTCTCAACAGCTTCTCAATAGTTTCTCAACTGCCTTTCAACAGTTTGTCACCTTTTTTGTCAATAGTTGCGCAACTGACTTTCAACAGTTTCTCAATATTTTCTCTACTGCCTTTCAATAGTTTCTCAGCTCTATCTCATCTATTTTTTAACTGTTTTTAAATTATTTCGCAACTGTTTTTCAACTTTATCTTTATGCTTTCTAAACTATTTCGCAACAACTTCTCAGCAATTTCTTAGCTCATCCTTAACCATTTCCAAACCATTTTCTCAACAGTTTCTCAACTGTCTCTCAATAATTTGATGCATGTGATGGCCAACTTAAGTTGATCACTAACCTTTTTTGGATATTGTAGACAAATTTTTATTTAAATTTTTTTAATTTTTTTTTATTAAATATTTGTATTTTTTATGAAAACTTGTGAAAAGCAATTTTCGCCCTCGAATAAAAGAAGAAGAAATTTTACGCCTCTACATGGCATTTTATTTTTTAGTATTAAATTAATTTAAAATTTAGTGCTGCAAATGAATTAAAAAAAAATGCATAAACAAAAAAATCCCCAAAAAAATACCAAATCACATACACATTTTACTAACAAAAAAAATCTACAAAATTTTGAAAATGTCTTACGAAAAAAACTCTTTCTCTGTAACGTGCTTTGACTGTGCAGAAAAACTTGAAAACTTAAAAAACTTGCACTTTATTGACGCGAGCAACTCATGGAATTGATGGACTTGACATTGAATGCCGTCACTTTTAAGATATGCTTACATACAAACATATTTTGTGCACCTGCCTCCGCCTAACCTTGACTTCACTGAGTCAACAATGGCAACCGAGTCGCCGCCATATCATTTATTTGCCTTGCAATAGGCCAATATCAAGTCGCAGTCGCTTGTTAAGTTGGCTGCAACTGCGGCAAAGCATAGAGCAACCAATTTGCTTGTTGGCAATGGGGGGTAGCGACGAAATACGTCAACGACATTTAATTGCTGGCCAGCACTTGTATATACATATATATATACAGGGTGTTGTGGTTGAAGAGCAGAATTTTAAGGAATTTATTTTAGTTTAAAAAAAAACACTAAATGAATATAAGTAAACAAAAAAAAAATTAATAAATTACTTACACTTTTGTAATCCATAAAATATTTTTGCAGCACAAAATCCTTTCAGAAATAAAAAAAAGTTATCAAAAACTCAAATTAAATACCCTCTAAGTTTAGTTTAAATTATTTAATCATTTTCTTAATCACACACATGCCTGCTTGTGTGCGCAAAATTATTGGCACTATTTTCTAGGCCAAGTATACATGTGTAGAATATTTTTATTATTGAAATTCATTTTTTCGTAGCTTAAAGCGCATACCAGCTTTGAAAAAACCAGTCGAAACTTTTTGCAATTTTTATATTCATTTTTTAAATGCGGCATTCTTTACCCCACCAGCGATCTGTGATCCCTATCGTCAGCGCATGCGTCGCAGGCTAAGCTACTCAAAGTAAGCAGCCAAGAATCACGTTTGTATCAAAAGTTTCTGTTAAAGTTTTTTAATTCTCTACTTGTTATTTTTCTCTGTATATAAATATATATGTATATATGTATATGTATATATTATTATTATTTTTGCTTGCGGTTGCACTTGTACCATTTGCCATTCTTAATTTTATATTCTT